CAAATACTCCTTCTTCCCTAGTGCTATTAGAGCATGGAATGGGTTGCCTGAGCTAGCCAGGAAAACCAGTGACTTAAGTCTTTGGTTAATATGCATGACTAAATGCATGACGCGTAGGACGTAATCATCTTCTTTTTTGAAGTCTTTCTGAGTGTTTTTGTATTTTAAGATTATGGTTCAGTGTTTTATGTATAATTGCTACTTTACTTTTTTTTTCCGTATTAACATGTCTTTAATTTTTTGTTGTTTGTTTGTTGTTGTTTTTTTGCGTTTTTGTTGTTGTTAATGTTTATAGGACTTTAAAAAAAAGGCCTTTAGAACTGCATGAAATAATATAGGACTTCCAAAAATGAGCGGATTGTAAAATAGTCTTTGAGCAGCCTTTGGTAGGCCTATTAGGTAAATAAAAATTAAGCTAAGTTTATGTCCACAGTAGGTTTATGATTCATTAGCCTAGTTGAAATAACTATATAAGTAGGCAGTAATAATTGGCAAGAAAAATTTAATAAAAAATAACGATGAAAATAAATAATAAAAATATCCCGGGTCCCTCAAGTACGAGGCCTATGGAGGTTTCCCCACTAGCCACCCCTTAAAGCCGCCTTTGCTCTGATCAGAAGCAGGGTGTGTTGTTGTTGTTGTTTTTTTACGGTACGTGCGTTTAGCTTTTAAGAAATTGTAAAGTCTGTAAATATTTTTGATAGGGCGAGGGTGAATCACGACGCCTCATGGGCCCATAGGCCTCTATAAAGTATAACAAATTCAGTTTTAAAAACAAAGGTTATATAAGGAGAAGAACCTTAAAATCATTGCCATATATGAAACACAATTAATTAATCACCACCAATCGATTACCTAGTTTGTTAATTTTTGTTTAACTAAATTGAGTAATTCATGAGAGAATGGGAGAAAAAAAAAAACGCGTGCAGAATTTGTACCAGATAGACAGGCGGAGTGAGTTAATATAAGCTGACAGATGTAATTTAAATGTGGTCTGTTTCTGTGACCAATGGAAAGTAATCTGTTTCTGTGGGTGTTATGTGTCCACCACAACGACCGTTACTTTTCTCTAACAAATTTTGGGTGGACCCAGGGCCCACTAAAAATCCCGATATTCGAAATCAGCCTACCAAGCAGTGTAAGCCTATATAATGGCTACCTTTTAGCCTACCAAGCAGTGTAGGCCTATACCTATAACGGCTACCTTATAGCCATAGTTCCACTTGAAAAGGGAACGTAGCTACTTTAGGTAAGCCTAGAAAGTTTCATGCTACTCTATACATTAGTATAGTACTAATAATAATTAGACTTGTCTTCGAGTCCGAAGATTAATGAGGAATGCAGTATTTCCCATGGCTACCCAGCTGTGCCACATCCATTGTCCGCCGGTGGTTGATTAAGATTTTCTTAATTCTTTTATTGTGATATCCACATCAAGGCGGATGAAGATCCCTCGATTATCAACGATCTAGATGATAGTTTCTAATGAGGACATTTTACCAATAAATGATATTGAATGCAATCATTAAAACTATGTGGCAGTAGATGTTGGTCGCTTGATAGATAAATCTACATCCACATATACAGTTGAGCTATAGCTTGGGGTCCCGATTGACTAGGGGCTTGCAGGAATGGTTACAGGAATATTTTCATTCATTAAAAAAAAAAAAAAGAACATATGAAACATTGCCTTATTAGGTATGCCTACTCCATTTATCTAATAGCTTAAGTCCCTATCAAGTCTAAATCGGTCTAGTGAATATATTGACACAACGCGAACTCTTGTTATGTTTTATAGAAAAGAAATATAGGCGGCTAGGCCTAATGTCGTTTGTCAAACGCATAGTGTGTTTTATAAGGAGCTGAAGATCAATAAAAGAACTGTATACGGGTGTATGCTATTGCATTAGCCTATTATCGAAAAGTTGGGCTTGCTTTAATTAGGCCTAAGGTTTTTAAGAAATATTTATAAATGAAGGCAAGGCTATGACCAATCACGATACTCTGTTGATTCCTTTTATAAGAGAATTTAGGCAATAATTATCTTTATAATGTTAAGTAAGAAATAATGTCCTTTCATGCGGCCCATTCCGTAGGCTCAAGTGCCCATATGGCCAGTCCTTCTATGTAATAAGAGTAGACACTTTATTGAATGAATCTTTCAAACTTCAATTGGACATCTGAAAACTAGAACTTTATTTACGTAACAGGAACACATTTCATGAAGCTTTGCATTAGAGTCAGCCCGTCAGCCGTTTCTACATTCTTTAAAAAAAATAATTTTATTAAGTATTAAAATTTTTTTTTTTAAATTACTCCTCCACCTGTTTTTTCCCCCAAAACTTTTTTTTTCTTCCTTCCAATCTATGGGCCTATTGAAAAAAGCAAGCATCCAGCATCTGTTTAACAAAGTCAACAAAAAGACAATATAGACCCTAAACCTGACAAGATGCTTATGGTGATTGGACTGATCCATGGTGGGATTACATTTGATTTATACGTTTAGGCAGTGCTTTCAGAAATGCTAAAATGATTACATCCTAGGCCAAAACTCCTGCAGGACGGCAGCAGGCAGAGATTAAACTGGGGATAATCATGATTATGGTTTACAAGCGCTTACCACAAAACCAGCCACATCCTCATATAAGATAATAAACAAATTATTTCCCCTTTGGCTGCTCAGTTTGATGCAAACTTTGTGCCGTGATAAAGTTACATGTCATTATAAAATATGAGAGAAAAGGCCAACTTGAAACCAAATGGACGCGCATATAAAACTGGTGTCCAAGAGAATAAAAGTAAAGCCTCTTTTGGAACACTATTACATTAGTCGTTCTTTTTGGTTTGAGTACATCTGTGAAGTGAAATTCACCTGCAATAGATCTCATTTTGTTTGATAAGTACTCTAAACATTGTCATTGTTTCCTTTGTGTTAGTAATGATAACCGAAAGATAATTCCAACTTGAGTCACTTGATCGGAACTTCCCAGTCGATGGTATAAAATACACACTGGACATAAGTTCCTAAGGTCAGAATTTTATTGGTGGTTACAGTAATAATTATAATTCTAACAATCTTAATTGATTCTCGTTAAGTCTTGGTCTGTAAGCAAATGGATACTTTCAGTGTTTAGAACCCAACTTCCAAATGTGAGCTTATACTAAATTTACCCATAGAAATGTGTATTGCTTGTACCCAACTGGAACAATAGTAACACTGGAACTGGACAGAGATAGGAAGTATAACTTCCTAAGACAAAAAGAAATGCTATACTTAACTTTGACATCATTCATTTCTTTGTTGTATTTCAGTTGATAATTTATTCAACAAAACAACATGGAAACAAAACACAACTCTGTATTAGTCTGTCATCAACGTTTATTTATGTATTTCATTCATTAAGAAAATGTATATAACAGTCACTGAGGAACTCAGTGCCAGCATGATCAGAAGGAAAAAAAAAAGGAAACAAGATATAACTTATTCACAGAAATGTAGTCAGTCTCCTAGTTCAACAGTTCTACTTGCTCCAACAGAGACTTACACAATGAATCCAAAGTTTAAAGCAAATGTCAAAATATAAGTATCATCACAATATATATAGTCCCCAACAGTTTGAAACTGAACAAAATAAAAACATAAGTCTAGGTGTGAAAAAACAAAACAATATGAAATTTAATGTAAGGCCAGCAAACTCTGGCCTTCACAGACTTCTTGACATCCCAGTCATTGTGCTCAGCTCAAGCAGTTCCAGACAATTTTAGATTTCTTAAGATACACAAGATCTAAGATTTCCTCCATATTTCTAGCATCAGGGTTAATAATAATTTATACTTATATATCAGCCAAAGAACAACTTTTTCTTAATTTCCTGTATTATTTGCTGGTCTACAAAGTTTAATATAGCACATAGAAGGTCATTATTCATACTAACAGGGCAACGGTGGGCGACATTGGTCATTCAAGTTGAATCAGTTTTAATGTATGATTTTTAAAAATAAAATGTTCTTAGCAATAGTTCAATATGCACAGAACACCTATCTACAAGATAAAACAAAAACAATGGACAAAATTTATAAATGTACATAGATTTAGAAAGATTATTTATAGACCACATTGGAATAACTCGTTCTCTTTTTTTTTTTATATGTTCTTTTCCATCCACTTATTGTCAATGATTATATACTAAATCACTGGTCTTTATTAGCTCAATTTTGATACAGAGTACCACTACATAGCATGAGGACTATGGCTATCTCTGTGCTGAATATTTTCAATCATTTTAATATGCAAAAAGATATGTTCTCCTGCGTCTGGAACTGCCTGTTAATAAATAATTATTTCCACTGTTGTAATATTGTGAAAAAAACAACAGGTCCTCTGTGGCATTAGAGACTACTAATAGCAACCAACATATGTTTTTAAAGATTTATACACAAGAAAACAGTGAGCATTCATAATGAATTCTACTGTCAATACAATCATCCATTAGGGAGAATTGGAGAGAGAATGGTGTGGGCATGTAGTAGGACAGCTGAGTAAACAACTTCTGCAGTACAGGACAAACTATAACTTTATTTCTGCAAGCAGTAAAGGTCTTAGAGAACCAGAGATATTGGACCCACCATGAGTGTGGACATACACCAACATTAGTCATAATAATGTACATGAAATTTAACTAGGATAGCCCCCAGCTTACAAACACACACACACCTTACAATCCTATCACCAATAGGAGTGAGACACACATGATTAATTTGGGTGACCAAAAGATCAGTTCCACTGGATACAGCCTGAATGTCAAGTGAAATGCTCAACACACTGATGTGGAATGTGATAACCATTCAACAATGTGTCTACCCACAAGGACATACAATCCAAGCACCTTCAACAAAAGGCCAGTGACAAACTATCACCTACAGTAAACTAAAATAATTTATAACCAGTCATTCACTTAAACACTTTATGCAGTTAATAAGGATTATCCCCCCCCCCCCCCCCCCCCCAAGCCTGCCTTTCAAAATATGAAGCTGATAATGTATTACCTTAAGGCCATCGGTTACAATAATAGTCAAGATAACAGTCATTGCGAATTCTTTTCTTTTTAAATTAAACCAAATGGTTACATTCTATTGTCTTGGGCATTGACCACTCCAGTTATTGCTAAAACCAATGCAATTTTGTAGGATCATCTTAAACAGCTGATGATAATGACAAAGGCAATAAATTCACCACGCAGATCACGTTGTCCATTGATTGGTCAAACAGCTTTCTCTCTCTTTCTCTCTCGGTTGTTCACAAAAAAAATCTTTCTTCTCAGACACACGCATACACACACACAGCTGCACACATAATACAAAAAAAAAATAAAAATAAACAGGTTTCAAACAATACCATCACACTATTTCATATTTATCCACAAAGAAAACAATTTCTGATGAGAATTTTTCTGGTGCTCCACTGTCAAGTTGTTGAACTTCATTCACCTAGAGACAAAAGAAACTAAAGAGTTAGCAACTAGAAAAAAAACAAACAAACTGCGATTAATCACTAAAGTAAGCTAAGGTACCCCCCTTTCGGACCATGGGATCTATTGGGGCAGATGATGTAAAGCTTGTCTGTTTTTTTGGGCAGATGGTTAAAAAGGGTGTTATGTGACTAGCACAACAATTAACAGCCTTTACTTCACCAACATAATGTCAGGTACCCATTAGAATCAAAGCCTCAGTTTTCAATAAATGAGATTTAACATTCATAGCCCTACAATTTTTTTTTTTTAAATTGTGTGTGTGTGAGGGAGAGGGGTGTTCTGGTTGAAAAGCAAAAGAGTATAGGTATATTAAACATTTTGATACTGAATTGAGAAACCGAAGAAAAGTCACAGATTATGTAAGTCAATAAGTAAAGCATGTCTGCATGAGAATGTCCTAGGTTATGAAGCAAGTAATTCCAAATCAAATCTTAAGTCTGTATAATTTATGTACCAATCAATAGAACATTTTCATAGACAGCACAAAAATCAACAGTTCAATCTAGCTAAACTAACAGCACTTACTGTGATATCGCAGAAGGAACGTTTAGATACAAAACTGACTGTTATAGGAAAGAAGTCTTCAGGATGGCCTTTGATGGTGAATTCCATGCTTCCAGTCTTGTTTGAAGCATCTATAAAAGGCAGCTGCCAGTGCAGAACTTTTTTATCAAAGTGATGTTCACCATCACACTCATTAACTATTGGAGCTCCAGCACCAGTACTGAAATAACAAGATGATTTACATGAGATTTTTGTTTTAAAAGATAATCAAGCCTTTCTTTATATTCATATATACATAAGTATATAGTCAAGAAAGAAAAAGAAATCTGCCCTATCAGCTAGCCCTAAAACAGATGTATTCACATGCATGTGACAAACTTTGTCACTTCAGAATTGCCTTCACTAGTCACACCAGATTCTGCCCTGTCTCAAGAAGAAATTAAAACCAACGAGTCATCTGGACCCATCCATTGTCTTCCAAGACAGGAAGCCATACATACATATAGGCATGTAAAAATAGTTTTATAATTTTCATTTTATAGTTATAAATAAATAAATATATACATATATCAATATCAATTGAAAAATAAAATCAGTACAATTGATATATGTAACTGTGCATCATATTTTAGTGAAGCTGTAGGACTGACAAGAGTAGCTTTTGAAGTGTAAACAGTTTTCGTTAGTACATACTTTTACATTACAATTAGTATTTTGATCATTTTATTTCAACGAATAACAGCAGTAAACAAAATTTACATATCATGTATTAATTAAATAGATAAACACTTTAAAAAAATAATTTTATAACATTTACACAGATTCTATTGAAAGGAAAATAAAAAAGAAATTGGAATTTACAATAAACATACACCGAGGATGTGCATTTGATATATATAAACTAAATAGAAAATGAAATTCCAAAATATGTAAAATATGCCTTTTATAGGAAAAAAAAAGGTAACAATTTCCAAAAGTGATTACTTACGGACATGGTATGTTAATTTGTACATCTTCAAGTTCCATATTGTCTTGTTCTAGTTCATACTCAATGTTCACCTCCCCATTTTCATTTGGCCAGCAGTTGACTATTAGATTAGATCATCATAGGAATGTCAACAACATGTCAAAGTGTTTTCTAATTTAAATTTTTTTTTATGGCATTCTAAAAATAATAATCAAGTGTGTGGACCATAAAAAAGTGAAAAAAAAAATCTTTTAAATCCGACATCTTAAATAATAGAAGGCCTGCATAGTAGTAATCAACATGGATGGCTGCCTGGGCGTATGATAAGCGATCTGGACTGTCGCCCCAAGGATCCCAGGGTTTTTCAACTCTGCCTTACCATTGGGCTAGGATTTAATCATCTTTAAATCTGAAGGAACACCCAAAACATATAAAACAAACACAAGAGACACATTATATTCACTAAAGAAAAATTAATTGTGAGGATAAAATGAAAAGTAAGTTAAGGTCATTTCTTGATGGTATATAGGTAACATTATATCGCTAACAAAACAGCCATAATCTTGACACCAATACTTTTATAAAGTTAACACTTTTGTAACAATTTATTTTGAAAATTTTTTTTTATAAAAAATTGTAATCATTAATATATTACTATTAATTAAAAAAACAACATTTTTAACCTAATAGGCATGGGTCAGTATTAATGTTAATTTTTTTAAACATTGTAATTAATACTGCAATTGTTTTTTTGTAGCAACAATTTTAATAGTTTTCCAGATTAAGCAATAAGAGTAGTAAAATAACTTACTCGACAAGGGCATGCAAGCTTCGTCCTGTGTTTGAAACCTCCATTTGAGAACACCAATATCTTGGCCCACAGGGAAAGGTTTCTCTGGATTTTTCAAGCTAATAATGGATGACTGAGTGAACAACTTCTTGTCTATGTTAGGATGTGTCTAATTGTGGAATGAAAAATCAAATACAAGATAAAAAATATTTTTTTTTAATTTAAGGTACACTCATTTGATAATAATCAAATAAAATTAAGTCGTTCACATTTTAGTAAGGCAGATTAGAGATCAGTTATCTGTTTTCAAGATTTTTAAAAAGTTAATTATATAGAGACTTTTATCCAGTAATTCTTCTATTCTTAAGGCCTCTGCTTTTCAATACAAGCAAAACCATTACATAATGTTAAAATCATAATGACCCAATTATCTTCTTATCTTATATATTATAGACGTTACTTCATGAGTCAATCTAGTCATGAATGTTCATCAATGACTTGTATTGACAATGACATATTCCTTTATATTTATAAAGGAAACGTAGCAAATTGGATTTGTTTTACAAAACTTGACTTTAAAAAACAAAAAAAACCCATCTTAAGTTGATATGCTAAAAAAATATACAAATTGTAAGATTTCATTGTTTAGTTTAGACATTACATCAAACAGCTCTACAATACATATATTTATTTAGTAAGGTTTAAAATAATTTCTAAATGACTAACTAGTGTCAACATTGACTTTAAAAAGTAACAAAATCATGGAATAAATTGTCATCTACCTGCAATTGTATTCCTTTGGTGTCATTATTAGTGATCAAAACCTTGATTCTACTTGATTTCTCATTATTAACTTTCAGTTTCAACATTCCAAGAACTTCCATGTTCTGAAGTCCTCCATCACGGCCAGCAGTAAGGGAGATCTTCTCTTCAACCACCAAATGTACACTGACAAAAATTAAAAAATAGCAATGAGCAGCACTGATTCATAAAATAAAATCTTTGCTCTAGACCAGTGGCCTTCAATGGAGGGCGTTTTCGTGAAATTGGGGGGCGCTGGGAGCCAAAGGGGCGGTAAGGGGGCGCTGGGAATACAGGGGGAAATAAGAAACTTAAGGTGCACTGAAACAAAACAAATAAAAAAATTCTTTAAAATTAAAGCTGGCAAACTCAATATACACAATGGTTAGCTTGCTTCTAATTTAAGATCAGATACAACGTTAGAAATTAAGTTCGGGAATCCCATTTTCTATTTTTAAATTCTTACTCTTATAAGCAAACTAGGCAATACACCTTTAAGATTTTTTTTTTAATCTACATATGTTAATATATTGATATGTAAATGTCAATTTAAAAAAAAAAAACAACCTGTTAAAGCTAACATTCAAATAGAATAATTTAACCTAAAAAGGTCGAAGATTTGAGACAAATATTTTCACAAAATCCAAATAAAATACCTTTCTTGATTGGCAGCTGGAGTAATTGTTTTTGTACTCGGAGCATTCAGTGATTTAGAAGAATCTGTGACTCCTGAAAAATTAAAAACAAAAAGTTCTAACAACAAATCCTGAATTCCTAAATTTATAAAACCTAGTAAAGAAAATAAGCACTAGGAGATAGTAACCCTAGTTCTAATGATCTATGTTTTGTTTCCTGATTATATTAAATGTAAAATGAGAAGGAAACAGGATGTTACAAAATGTACATGTGGAGATTGCCAGACAAGTGTATACAAGTTGTTGTTTTTTTTAACACATTAGCTTCAGGTAGCTTTGAGTTTCTATACAGACAAGTAAATAATGCATATGGGAGATTATATGTTTCCAATACCACATAAGTTCTGATAACTTTTGATTGAGTCTTTTAAGTTGCAAGCTTCATGTTAAGTTTACTACTGTGAATAAATCAATTTAAATTAAGGCATATGTTATTACATGAAATGTGTGTTCTCTTGGTTTAAGTTTTAAACTTGTAAAATTATTTTATTTTGACAAGAGAAGTTCTGTTAGTTCTTCACCAATACTAGAATTCTCCACATACAATTGGATACTTGGTCATCAGTTTTAACCACTATAACTATTCACCACCCAAAGCCATCATAACAAATGTAAAATTCTGAATTTTTTTGCTACAAAGGTAAAGACATACATATACTTATGAACTAAAATGACTTATTTTACTAGCTTATTTTGTATGTAGTTATCACATTTATTAACAAGGACAAGTAAACCCAAAATCTACCTACTTTCTCCTTCTGACTGTAACTGTCCAACAAATGTGTCCACATCTTTCTTCTTTGAACCCAACTTGAGGGCTTTGCTGGGACCAGCGGATTGTTTCCTGGGGAAGTAACAAAGCAAAATTTCATGTTCCAACATGATGAGAAATGAAGACGAGGTGATGGAAAAGAAGAAAAAAAAATGTAGGAACATACACTGGTTTACTGTATGCTTGCTTAGGTGTATCTACTGAGGTACTATTTTCAATAACTGATGTCTCAGAAGATCTGTAGGAGCCACTTCCAAAGCCTCCAGCTGAAGGATAGCTAGTGTTACGGCCATACTTGGAGCTTTCTCTATTCTT